CAGCACCATGCTCTGGAACTTGCCAGCCTTCAGATCCACGGGCCAGATAAACCTCTTTTCTTTTATAAGTCACAGAGTCCCAGGTACTCAGTGACAGCAGCAGAGAGCAGACTTAAAACAGGCCTTCTCTGCTGGGCTTCCACAGGGCAGCCAAGTGTAGGGACGAGCTCCATGATCCTTAGCGACAGCCACTATTCTAAGAACTTTTGTAATATGAACTCAGAATCCCTACCAAAGCTGTATCAGCTAAGGCTAATGTTTCCTTCCCCACTTTACAGGTGGGAAATTAAGTCACACGGGTGTTATGAGTGTGTTTGAGGGTGCACAGCTGGTCAGCACCACCACACAAGTAAGCTATAGCATTCGAGTGGCAGTCTTTCCTTCCGGAACTTAGGTATTTTTTTAATCACCTTGGTAAAATTTCCGACTACATTTTAAATCAGTTGATGTCTCATAGCTTCTTTGGTGCCTTTAATGTTATTGTTCCACTACAGGTCCAATTTCCTGGATCTAGTTCTTGGGAAGAAAGCCATGCTAACTTTCAGAAACCAGAATTGTGCAGTGCAGGGTTGGTATGGGAAGGCAGGCATCCTGATTTTACACACTGGTCTCCCACCTGCGACATCAGTTCCCTGAGGATTAGTCCCTGGGCCCCAAACCTGCAATGCAACCCTGACTGATTTCTATGACTCTAGTTACCAGCTAAGTAGGGTAGCCCTCAGGAGGCTGAGGCAGGAGGATCATGAGTATGAGGCTAACCTGGGCTACCCAGTGAATTCCAAGCCAGTTTCAAACAACCCAGAAGAACAACCAACAAAAAAGAAAGAGTAGAATTTAGTCTTTCATTGTGCTCGGGGTGGTCTGAAGAAGGCCTTCCATAACCATGCTTTCGGATATACGTTAGAATATAGCCAAAGGAAAAGAAAGAAAACAAAACAAAACAGTAGATCCAACTAGACATCAAAACATTCAGCCAAAAGTGACTGGAGGCTGAAGCAGTCTGCGGGGGTTCCAACTGTGATTTCTCTCGTGGGCTGAACTTTCTTCATCATGGGGTAAACATAGTAACATCTGTGAGGAATAGTTACTCTTGTAGCGGTTCTCAGAACAGTGTTTTGACTCGGGCTGCTCCACTGTTCCGTCAGTTAGAGGGACCTGGCCGTCTCCAGACGAGGACTCTTGGAAGACACATAACAGAAACATACTTGGGTCCGAAATCGAGGAGGGGGGCACCCACTTTCAGAGCCAACTTCTTAGCATGTGACAGTCTACCAATATAATGTGTATTACACACCATCCACCACCTACTGCCTTCTGCCGCCTCCAAACTGCCCTGCTGCTGGGTTTCAATGAGAGAGAACTCCATAGACTCATGTAGTTAAGCACTTGGCACTGTTGGGGGGAAGTTTTGGACCTTTTAGGACATGGAGCCTTGCTGGGAAGTGAGGAAGTGCATCACTGAGGGTGGATGGATGCTGACAGTTTACAGCCTGTCCACACTTCCAGTTTGCTCTCCGTTACCATGTGTGGTTGAGATGTGATCTCTCAGCTTCCTGTCCCTGCTACCATGCCTTCCCCGACATTATGGACTCTAGCCACCACCACCATCTCCTGCCACCCTCCCAAGCCCCCAAACTATAAGCCAAAATAAACTCTTCCTAAAAGTTGCTGTAGGTCATGTGCTACTGGGGTGACCAGGGATAGGAAGTGAGTCTGCCTTGGCCTTGCACTACCGCACATCTCAACAGGCCACAAGGGGCGCTGTCCTCCCCACTGCTCTCTCTATGGTACTTGGAGTCCTGGAGGAGCCCAATGGGTCAGCACTAGCTGACTGAAGGAACGCAAAGACTTGGTCAGGGGAGGTGCCAATGGCCTTGGGGTTTTGACCGCTGATGGGGAGGACCTTGGCAGGTGACTACGGAGGAAGGGAACACCACCTCCAGAGGACGAGTGACAGGGTCATCTTAGCAAGACTCCCCGGCTGCTGGGTTTAGGACGCCCGTCACTTCTCACTTCTGTTGCTGTGACTAAAACAAACAAACCAAAACAATAACAAAAACACGACAGAGAGCAACTCAGAGGAGATGTGCCTTACAATTCCAGGTCATGGTTTGTTGTGGCAGGGAAGTCAAGGCAACAAGAGCTTGAAGCAACGGGTCACACCACATCCACGGTCACAGGCAGAGAGAAATGTATGCACACAAGTCTAGTGTTTACCTAGCTTTCTCCACTTACACGGGCCAGGCTCCCAAACCAGGGAATGGTGCTGCCGGGTCTTCCCATATTCATTAGGGCGTTTGAGACCATCTTCCACAAACCTGACTATAGGCCAACCTGATCTAAATAGTCCCTCACTGGGGTTCTCTCCAGGCGATTCTAGGTCACGTGGACAAAGCTAGCCGTCCCAAGGACTGTGCTGGGTTTGACAGGAGTCAGAAGAGAGAGGCAGTACAGGCCCCAGGGAGGAAGGGTGCCGTGCAGGGCTGGTATGGGAAGGCAGGCATCCTGATTTTACACACTGGTCTCCCACCTGCGACATCAGTTCCCTGAGGATTAGTCCCTGGGCCCCAAACCTGCAATGCAACCCTGACTGATTTCTATGACTCTAGTTACCAGCTAAGTAGGGTAGCCCTCAGGAGGCTGAGGCAGGAGGATCATGAGTATGAGGCTAACCTGGGCTACCCAGTGACTTCCAAGCCAGTCTCAAACAACCCAGGAAAAACAACTAACAAAAAAGAAAGAGTGGAATTTAGTCTTTCATTGTGCTCGGGGTGGTCTGAAGAAGGCCTTCCATAACCATGCTTTCGGATATACGTTAGAATATAGCAAATGTTTTAGAAACATTTTGAACCTCCCATGCAGAAGCTATGGCTACCAAGTGCCAAATGTATCCCACAGACTGAGCACCACACCATGGATTAGTCCATTCTCCTGTGGATGGACACTGCACAGGTCTTCAGGGAGACCCAGACAGGCCACAGGAGTGGAGAATCGTGACACAGCACAGGGGTGTGATGAGAACAAGGAGATGCTGAGTTTTCTCGAGGGGTGGCACCACCACCAGCTATGCACAAGAATGTTAGTTGCCCTGCCCCTGGCAGTCCTCTCTTCATCCAATCAAGAGCTCCCTGGCTTGCTGTTTCCTTCTGTTGATGACAGGAGTAATAGGGACAGGTACACTGATCATTATGGGCTCATAAGCAACTGAACAAGAGGGTCATAGGCCTGCTGTGGTCTCAACTAAGGGAAGAATGAACATTGTCTTAGCTCCGATGTGACACTTAGAACTACGATAGCCATCTTATGAGCATAAAACCACCTGAAGGACAACAGAGAGACGGAACGAACCAATGTCCTCCGTGACACTGCTGAGCCACTCCATCTGCCACCCATATCCTTTTTAAGACAGTAATTTACTATCTATCTATCTATCTATCTATATATATATATATTTAACTTACAACATAAAGAACACAGGCTACAAACCCATCTCATTCCCAAATCCAAGGTGTCCTTTGTTTCCCACAGGGGTCAGCAGCAGTCAGCCCCACAGAGTATTTCTTCCTAACTGAATCCCTGCTTTAGAAACCAGACTGTGGCAGTCGAGACAATAAAGTCTGCTCACTGCATCCCCCTTTCTCCAGCTCTTTTCCTGGCTCCTCCCTAGACCATCATTGCCCACTTTCCTTTCTTCCTTCCATCCCCTGACTTCTCACCAACACCATGACCCACATGCCGAGGAAGCCCCAGCAGCCCGTCTGTCTAGCTCCGTTCTCCCCACTGACAGGGTACCCAGGCATTCCAGCTATAACTTCTCAGTCACACTCCTGATTGTCCCCTGCAGTCTGTCTTTCTTCAGGCTTTTCTACCTTGGCCAAGGGCTCCTCACCCCTTCGTAGTTAGGACCAATGCCTGTGCCTCACTGTTGACCCACATCCAGTCTGATAGGATCTCTTCTAGCTCCCTGTCTGAGTCACGGTAACTTTGTGTCTGGAAAGCTGTTCAGGTTGCTTAGCTGGTCTCTCATCCTGAGTCCAACCTCCACATCTTCTAATCCTGAAAGCCAGTGGCCTTGGAGAGACCCAAATTCCCTTTCATTTCCCCGAAGAAAATAGCTTCCCATGCCTCTCAAGACAAAAATCCAAACCTACAACCAAGGTACCTGTCATATTCCTTGTTCAACCCCACACCCTTCTGGAACAAGACCCCTTCACTTTCACAATGCACAAACTCAATCTGCCCAAGAAGGAAGGCTCCAACCCTCCTCACTCCTCTGCAGACACCAGGATCCTATTAATTTCTCATAACTCTCTTTACTTAGCCTCACGGTGCTTCCCACGATGCCTAATTACGTACTGATATGATTAAAAGTATTAAGATATAGTGATTACTGGGTGACAGTCCCTCCTGTCCTCCAACACTCACTCTCACCTCTTGATTGAGAAAATTGGGGTCAGGAGCCTAATTCTACCTACTTAGCCCCTATCATTGCGCCTGCGCATAGTATGCGCCCAGGAACGTGCCTAATTAGCTAGTAAGTGAACACACTGACTCATCCAAACTTTAACAAGCCTGGGGCAAGCCATTTCATCACTCAGAAGGAAGCACGTTCTGAGCCTGGGTCTTTGCCCATGGTTGAAAGGGCCAAATCTGAGCCACGAGAAGTCTTCCCGGAATACACAAACAACAAGCTACAAGAACTTAGGAATCAGCGCAACTAAACGACGCGGGCCCGCCCGACTCTTAAAGAGTAAGGATCACAATCTGCTTGCATATGCATAAGGGGGACCATAGACCAGAGGTTCGGAGCTGCCCAAGCTGCGCCTGACTAAAAATTCCTCGGGCTTGAAGACCTCAGAGCCCCGCAATTTTATTCAAGTCCATATAAAGTTTATAAACTATCTTTCGTGGCGGATACTAGAGGAAGAGTGCCCTAGAGTAGCCCCACTTTGGGCTTGTGTGTCAGGCGTCTGCGGCGGACAGCCCGACTCCGGACGGGGGTCCTTGGGCCGCTCGACTAGAAGACGAAGGGGGCGTCTCCCCAGCTTCTGCGGCGTCGGTGGCGAGCTAAGGTGGAGGAAGGCTGCGGCAGCGACGGCGACAGCGGCGGCAGCACCATGGAGGGGCTCGCAGGTATCGTGGCGTCGCCCGCCTGGGCGGGGTGAGAGGTCCTCGGCGCGGCCGCGGCGCCATGTTGGCCCTCCAGGGTCACCTTAGGCGCCGCTTGGCCTCTCGCCGGGGCTTTCCTTCCGCGCGGCCGGGGGCGGGCGCACCCTTGTCTGGCGTCAGGCGACCGCCCCGCTTTGCCCCAACCTGGGCCTGGGGGGCGCGGGGTCCCCTTCCCGTCCCGGTGGGGGGCTCGGGGATTCCTGGCCATCACTCTGGCCTCCAAGGTCAGCGAGCTCCCGGGATGGGGCTGGGAGCGCGGGGTGCGACCACCACCTCCTCTGCTCCGGCCCTTGGCAAGGGGCTCAGCTTCTAAGAAGCCGCCACTTTTTTCCTCGCCACTTCAGTCTCTGTTTTTTCTTTTTTTTTTTTCTTTCTCTCTCCATCCGAAGAAGTATGGGGAAAAGGGAGAACCAGGCCCCGAACCCTCTCTTTGGTGTCTGGAGTAATAGGGTGACCATCTGCTTCAGGTCTCGGGTCCTTCTCCCACCAACTTTTCATCGATTCTGGACACCCGTTCCCTCTCCTCCGGTGTGTGGGGAGTGGCCCTCAAGGGCAGCAGAAGGAATGGAATGCCTGTCACACTCGCCTTGGCCTGGAAAGGAAGAATGGGGGATGGGGACAATTGATTTTTCCTTCCTCCTTCCAAACCACCTTTAGTTTCCTTCTAGGTCTCATGTCCCTTTTTAGTTGGGAAACTGGGACCTGTTCTGGTTTATAGGTTCTTTCTGTTTATATGTTCGGATCCTCTTTTGTCCCTTTCAGGGAACTGATGTATTGGGGACGGCTTCTCTGCCCTGCCTGACATGGTCCAACCATCCTGTCAGCCTTCTGGACTTCAACACCAAAGCCAGGACCCAAAAAAGTTCCATTTTATGTGTTCATGTCGAGTGTTAGAGCGAGCTTACTTGTTTCTTTTAAATCACGATTCATTAATGTCAAGAATTCCTGTTCAAAGATTGGGTTTCTGGAACCTTGGTCCGTTTCCAGGGACTAGATCAGTTCTGTATCTGAAAATGGGCATCTTCAAGTTGCTGCCAAAACAGTTTAACTTCTTATCTGTTGTTCCTAAGGGGAATCAGAGTTAGGCTGCCCTCTGTTCTTGTTCTCTATCTTTGAAACACACACATTCCATTGCAAGCTTGTCACCGTCTGTTCTACCAAGAGCCATGTAGTATTGCCTTCCTCTCTGTCCGGCTCTGCCCTGGGAATGGTCAGGAATCGGTATCCTGCCACGGTATGATCCCTGTGGAAGGGGAACAGGATCATTTCCAGAGAAGATTTTGGCAAACGTGTCTCATTGGCATGTGGAAGAAGTCATTGGTCACCTGGAGTAAGAGACTTTGATAGACTAGTATTATGTATGTGTACACATTTACACATTTAAATCTCCTGGGGGAGATTAACTGCCAGCTGAGACTCTCCCTTTGGAGTGTTGGCTCCTTAAAGAGATCCAAGTTTGAAAGTAGATATCTAGGAAGTGACCAACAGCTAGCCGGCTTCCCTCAAAGCCTCAGTGTAATTAGGCTATCTTTGGCTGGCCCCGTAACCCAAGCCAAAAAGCTTAATCCCTGTTCTGTCCCTCAAATGAATCCCTTCTTTCAATCACAACTCAGTTACGATACAGATAGAGGTAAGAGTCACCTAGAACCCACATCTCTAAAAGTTTGGGTACTTAGTGATCTCTACCCTACTGAACTTGAACTGTCAGTCCAAAAAATAACCTTCTTTGTTATGAGTCCCTGGAACCTTCATATGTTGCTAGATTCCCATAAAGCTGTTCCACTTCCCTCACAATTCATCCACTCTGCCTTTGCCCCTGCTTGGAGGTGGCAACCTCTTTACGAAAAAGGGATGTGTAGCTCTGTGTACTAAGGGCTTTGCAATAAAAAAACACACCCCATTGTTTTATGTGAGAATAAAATGTTTTAATAGTATATAGCTTGTGGAAACATTTTATAAATAAGGTAAATTTGGATCAGGCTTGCAGATATAACACAAGGATGGGGCATGAACACGTTCCTTCTGTCTTCTCTGGTGGGTTTAGTTTGCTGTCAGGACAGCAGGGTGTGGGGTGGGAGAAAAAAGTGGATAGTGGACATTTCCCATCTAAAGGCCACCAGAGCAACCCTTGCCTGAAAGTCCACCAAACTACACCACACTCAGCACCGCTGGAGGGTAGATGGAGGAAAAAAGTTTTGCCAAGATCATCTGGAAAGCCCTGGGATTACCTCCTGGCTTGGGGATGAGGGGACAAAATGTGCTATATCCAGAGTAGCCAGACTTCTTTCTCCCTGCTTTGGCCTGCCTTTGTGAACTCAGCTGGCATCCAACTTGGGCTGAGATTAGAACACATGGAATAGTAGAGTGACAGTTCCCCCCGCCCCCTCTCCAAGTCTCCAAGGGGAGAGTCAGCCTTCATTGGGAACCTGTGTTAATATGTACTCCTGGCTCAATGGGTTTAGTAGGGCAAACCACAGAAATTTCCAATCAATAAGGAGGTAGGCACTGACTGCAGATGAGTAACCCTGAGGCAAAGGACTTGACCTAACTTCAAACCTTGACAGTAGTTGTATTCACCCTGCTGAGGAAGATGGAGTCTTAGAATGCATGCCACATCCAAATCCTGTGGATTCCGACTGCCTCTGATGTGCATGGGTTCATCTGGATCTTGGTAGGGAACAAAAAGCAACCTGGCTGGGTAGCCTAAGCTGATTTGATGGTAAAGCCAAGGCCACACCAAGTTCTACACTACTTGCCCCTATAATTCCCTGGTGCTGAATGAAATTACAAGTATCTTCAAAAGTGCCAATGATTGGCTTGAACATCAGGCTTTCTCGGGATAGAGACATGATCAAGGTTCAAGGGGGTCAAGGTGCTTTGTGTGCCTGAGTATTTGTGATGTGACAACCATGACTAAGGGATTTAAGGAAGTAGCAGGAGAGGTTGATAGCCTTCCAACGTATTCCCTTAGTATTAGCATAGGATCAGGTGTGCAGTGATGAATAAAATCAAGGGATGAATAAAATCAAGCTGCAGCTTGACAGGTGGCAGGACTAGTTAGTAAGGCAGTCAGCTGACACTTGGGAGCAGAGCCATGGCTAACTAAGGAGGAGAACTAATCGGCCAGCCCACCCTCCCTGGTGCAATCAATGGGAGGGGAAAGTGCAGGCTAGTGACCTGATAAGGCCGTTAAAGATATACCGAGAAAATTGGGGGGTGGGGATCCAGCTGGAGGGTTGGAAAAGCCAGGCAAGATGACCTTGGGGTGATCCTGGGGCCTGGAGCATTGAGTTGGGTGGAGGAGTTGCCAAGCCACATCTCTGTCCAAGCCCCCCTCTTCCTACCTAGCAATTATTTCTTGAGGCTCCTGGGTGGAGTTCTCAGGTATAGCTTTATATTCTCAAATCAGCTCTCATTTAGAGGGCCATTCCCATTTACTTTCTCATCTTTCCTAAATTAATAACCTGCCATGGTGCCTTATCTCAGGACCACCAAGCAAATGCAACCATCATCCTGGGGAAGGGGAAATGTCCCTTATTCTGGGACAAATGAGTAACACTTTTTTGATTGGGAATGAGAAATAGTCCTTTATCTCAGGACGGTATTGAAATGAGGCAGGTATGCATGAGAGTCTTCGTTCATTCTTGTCTTCTTGTCCCCCTCCCCCCTTTCCCAAGTGGTGTGCCCCTTCCCAATGGGTACATTGCCCAGCTTTAGAGACATGTGACGATGTCGCAAAAGAAGCCACAAAGGAACTTTTTGGTGTACCCCCACTGCCCTGCACGGTCCTAGGACTGTACAAGACAGGAGAAGTCCATTTTTTATTTTTGGGGGAGGGTGGTCCCTGATCTCCAGGAGCTTACAGTCTAGCTGGGGAGACACAACTAATGCACACTTAAACCAGTACAATTAGCGACTACCACAATATTAATCACAACTGCTGCGTGAGATCAGGGATAGCAAGATCAGTGAAGGCCCGGGGGTCGGAGAAGGCGTTTTGGTGAAGGTGGGATTCAGTTACTGTTTAAATGGGTCCGAATCAAGTGACACATTTTGGGGAGGTGTTTGGAAGGAAGGGGAATGAGGGAGCAAGGCAGAAATGTGCGTGCCATAGGCAAGGGACAGTGAGAGGGCCCCTCTGAATGTCTGAACCCTCTTCCTCCCTCGTCCACGCCCTCCAGTCCCGCCATGGGGCACGCAGTTGATGTTTTCTCTTCTGCACCGAGATTCAGGGCTTCAGCTGGTGATGTCAGAATGTCCATTCTGCTGGTTGGTGGGGTGTTGGATCTCTGTGGTCAGATCTCTTCTGTGGCTGAGATGGTGCTGTTCCGACTTAGTCCAGATCAGAATGTGGTGCCTACGCCCAGATCTCGAGGGTTTGCTTCCCTCTTCCCCCTCCTCTCCCACCCGCCAGTAGTAGGACGGGGGGCAAAGGGGCTGGGAAGGGAACTGATATTTTCATCATTGTCGGTGCTGCTTCTCCGGGGGCCTACCGGCCCCTCACTGACCTTGGCAGGTGCTCCGTTGACGAGGGAGCACAGGAGACCCCCCATTCCTGCGCGGCACTGGCTCCCGTGCGGGTCGAGAAGCACAGGAGCACCTGATGACACGGCCGCCCAGGGCTGGGATTTGGGGCCTCAGTTGGGGGCTCGCCTGCGCTCCCCCATCACCTGCCGCCCGGTCCGGGACACCGTGTGCGCCAGCTTCTGCAGGGAGTACCTGAACACCTGCGGTGAGAGATCCAGGACCCACCCTTAGAGAAGCACCCATGACTCAGTGTAGTACTGCTGCTACTGCTGCTTGCTGATCCTGCTGTGTGCCCGCCCAGCCCCGCCCCCGGCCCCGCCCGTCTGTCCAGTGTAGCCTGGAGTGACGGGCGTGGCCCAGCTTGTCCACGAGTCAGGGCAGCTGGAGCTTTTCCAACTGTGCTGAGAGCTGCATGGCTGCAAGCTGATTGGACCCACAACTTAGGTATACCTCACTTCTCGCAATGGGCTGTGTCCCTGGAGGATTTCGAAAAGCGAATCCTACCCAGTAAATGCAGCATTCCAGGAACACCTTGAAGGAAATATGCGATTCCTTTGGCAAAGGATTCCTTTAGCAGGGAACTCTTCCTGCAAAGGGAGCTCTCGGGGTAGATGGTTTTATGCACAAAGCGCCTCCTTCCAATTTGGCTTTAAGAAAAGCACTTTTGCGCGCGCTCTTTTTCCATAAAATGATTTGCCTTTTTTTTTTTTTTTTTTTTTTTTTTTTGGAAGCTCTCTTTCCTTTTCTATTTTTTCCTGCGAAGGGCATTTTCCTCTAATTGTTTTATTCAATGCGTGTATCCAGTTCTTTTTTTCTGTCCCTTTGTCTCTCTTCCAATGCTCTTTATCTAAATGAATTTTTTTCCTTCCAAGTGCCTTTGTCTGGTTTATTTTTCCTGCAATGCACGTTTTGTCTATTTCCTCCTCTTTACCTTTTTTTCCTGATTTATTGAGATTCTTTTTGTTGGGTGTTTTTTTTTTCCTGAAAAGTAGCATTTTCTGACTTATTTTTCATCCCACCCCACAAGTGTATGTGTATATAGTGTATTTTTTTAAAGAAAATTTCCCGCAATGCGCAATTTTTTAAGGCAAAAATTTTCCTTGTGCGAACTGTAAAGTCTTACAGCACGCAAGTGCCCCGCCTCCCTCCTGGGGTCGAGTGTAGCGGGTGTTTCTTACCGCGTTGGTCGGGATCGTCCGCAGCGGGCGACCGCCGCACCCCTGAGTCTTTGTTCCCGGCCGGGCGCGGGCGCACTGGGGACAGGGTCTGTGCGAGGATGTGGGCACGGGAACGGGCAGGGACAAATAGTACCACCGCGGCACTTTGGTAGGCAGGAATCGCGGCAATTGGGATAGGATGGGTTGGGAAGGCGGCAATCGCGACGGGGGTTAGGGGTCCGGGGCGCGCTTCAGGGGCCCTCTCCCACCCAAAGCCCGGGCATATACTCACCTGCAGCAGCACGCGGAAGATGTACCAGCCAATGATGAGCAGTTCTGCCGAAGCTGCTGCCACTGCGGCCATGGTTCCGAGAGTGGGTGGTCGAGTCGAGCGAGGGTTCGCCGAGGTCTGCGGGTCTCGGAGTCCGCTGTTGGGCGCACTGCCGCAGCCCCGGTGGCCGTGCCTTAAGTACCCTCCTGCCACCTAAGTGCGCATGCGCACTTGGGGGGGGCTGTTGATGAGGAGGGGTGGCGGGGGGGCGCTCCTCATTCGCCAGGAGAGGAAAAAAAAATCCGTCTGTTCTTTCCACACCGACCCCCACCTCCCGAGTCCGCTCGTAACACCCTTCCAGAAGATTCTGCTCTGCCTGCTTTTGAAATTCGGTGTAAAATGGAGGGGAGTCGTGGCTCTAGAGTGTAGGGTGAGGGTCGGGGTGCAAGCCTTTTGGTATGACACACCCAGGTCTGCAAATTCGAGCCGCGTAACCAGTGCCGCGCCAAAATATACCTCCTATGCGGTTGGGAAACCGAAATTACGGATGGCTATCTATCTCGGCAAAAAGTATACCCCTTTCTCGGTACTCCTAATATTCAGTGAGTTTTAAACTCATGCCAGCTGTTTTGTGAGAGTCCTTGATCTTGTACTCTTTCCTAGCTGTTGCTTCCCCCCCCACTCTGCCCAGCAGGCGGTGGTGGCTACGGTCCCAAGCTGGAACAGCGCTCTGCTCTTAGTAGCTAAAGCGATTGTATCTACTCTGGGAGGGATGTAGGAAGGATTGATGCCCTTTGTGTGCGCCAAAGGAGCAAGATTTATGAAGAAGTGGTCCAGATGTATTTGGGACTAGTTTTCTGTGGGACAGATGATATCAATGTCTGCCTTGTGCTCCCCTCCCCCAGTCTCTAGTAGGTCTGCCTAAGCCACGGTGGTTCTTTGTACCAGTTTGCTTCGCGACTGGAGCCCAGAACAGGGCTTTGCTATAGCCGCCAAGGGTTATGTCTTAATGTGGCTACTGTCGCCTAGTTTCAAAGTAAAGCGAGTGTCCCTCGCTTAGTGTGATCTTACAGATCTCTAGTGGAGCGCGGCTCGGGTGGAAAGACCAAATTGCCACCAAGCTACTTGGCACAGAGGCCAAATGTATTTGCCCCTATGTGGACAGGATATTAATTTTGATTAAAAACTTATAGAGAGACCCGGTTCTGTTCAATGTCAGTAGCAGATGAAGGTTCAGTGTTCCAAGTGTTGTTTTTTTTGTTTGTTTGTTTTTTGGGTTTTTGGTGGTTTTTTTTTTTTTTTTAACTTTGACTTTCAAAGAAGTTGGCTGGTTTGGGATGAATGATACTGGGCTATTTGAAAAAAGCAAGCATGGCCCAGGCTGCCATCTTAAAATATTTGGGGCCACTCTACTGTGTCTTCCCATATCTTGCCAGGATCTGAGGATCTACTGTCTGGCATCTCCAGGTTAGCAGTTCACAGATAACTGCTGTAACTTAACATTCTCTCTGGAACTGCAGATGTGAGACTAGATACAGAACCATTTCTTACCACACGGGGGCACAACACTCAGTCCATGGTGTCCTGTGGCAACCACAGGGCGGTATTGTGAGGTCTGGGACCTTTGAGGACGGGCCGCAGCCCCAGGAGGCGATACATGATCTCTGCTGGGCAGGGCCCAGGCAAAGCCAGTCCACTGTGGGGACCGTGCCCTCCTGGGAGCCTCCAGTAGAAGCCCAGGGAAGACACACCCCAGGAGGCTATCTTAAACTAGTAATTTGGATAGAAGTAGACATTCATGGGTGGGTGGGGAGGAAAGGGCATTCACATTTGCTGTTGTTAACCATGATCCATTTTCCCAAATAAGTATACATTTTGTTCCTGTTTTTTTTTGTTTGTTTTTTTGTTTTTGTTTTTTGTCTGTCTGTCTGTCTGTTCTTTGTTTGTTGTGTTGACTTTTCTCTTCAGGATCCTTGCTGCCTTGGTGATCCCAGGCTGACAGCCAGAGAGCACAGCGGCTCAGCTCCTGGAGAGAGAGTCGAAGAGAACGGAGGGCAGCCACCTGTGCCTGCTGGCTCCCATTAGGTCGGTTCCTGCAGCGGTGCCTGGCAGCCTTGGTGAAGGCCCTGCCCGGCAGAGATCATGTATTGCCTCCAGTGGCTGCTGCCCGTCCTCCTCATCCCCAAGCCCCTCAACCCCGCTCTGTGGTTCAGCCACTCCATGTTCATGGGCTTCTACCTGCTCAGCTTCCTTCTGGAACGGAAACCTTGCACAATATGTGCCTTGGTTTTCCTGGCAGCCCTCTTCCTTATCTGCTATAGCTGCTGGGGAAATTGTTTCCTGTACCACTGCTCCGATTCCTCACTTCCGGAATCCGCCCATGATCCTGGTGTTGTGGGCACCTAACAGCTGCCGAAATAGCTTTCCAAGGAAGCAGAAGACGGGAGGGGAGGTATTGACATAGGTCATAAAGCATTTGGAGTTTCAAATCCCGCAACCCTGCGGGTGCCACATTCCTGATGGAGCCTTTTGGCCTGTGATGTTTTATCCTTACAATGTGAATAATGGCACTGACCAGTGCTTCTGTTGTAGCGTCTTGTAGTCGTGGGTGGTCTTATGGTTGTGTGTTCTGTCACCATCTGGGTCCCGGATGATGGACTGGCCCACCCCCTTGCTCATCGTTGTGGGGAGTCTACACCCATCCTGGTCAACCGCCCTTGGTATGACCTGGGCAGAGACAATGCTAGTTTCATTGTCACCTCCATGACCCTTCCTCATCAGGATCTTCCTCATCAGGATCTTCCTCCTCCCTCTTCAGTCCCTTTCCCTGGTTTCCCCTTGGTTCTTTCCCACCCCTTTCCTTTTGGGGGAACACCTGTCCAAGACAGGGCTTGTTTTTGCACTTATCTCAAATTTGAAGAGATTGCTGATGCCCGAGAGCCTCGCTTTTTCACCCTCCTTTCCCTGTCGAGCAGGTGAGACGGAATCATGTCTCAATTGCTTGTTGTCCACAAACCTCCAGTATTTTCTCTGCCTCATTTTTAAGAGAGAAGCAATGGAGAGACATTGTTCTTTGGCTTGGGTGTCTGGGCTCTGGCTTTCCAGCCCAGCCTCTCTCCTTTTGCTCTTCCTCCTGCCTCTCTCAGCCGTCCTAAGGGAGCCACCTCTGGGCTCCAGTGCATGCTTTTCAGGAGAGAGGTGTGCAGTGTTCTTGTAGACCCAGTGGTCCCCAGCTGAGTGAACAGGAAAGTATTATGTGTTTCATAGCAGCCATGATTCCCTTGATAGGTGTTTGGGTATTTTTTGATGTGCTCTGTATGTGTGCACGCATGCGTGTGAGAATGTGTGTGTGTGTGTGTGTGTGTGTGTGTATACGTTCAAATACATGTGTATATTCCTTGTGAAGAAGCTTTACTGAATGTGTTCTGGTTTTGAGGTTTAGTAGTAGTAGCTAGCTGTAGTAGGTCCACTGCAGTTTTTATTTAGCATGGGGATTGCAGAGTGACCAGCACAGTGGACTCCACGGTGGTTCAGACAAGACCCGGGGAGCAGTGGCCGTCATCCTCCCGCCAGGAGCTCCTTCGTTTGTGCACGTAGACTGTACACTATGAAGAATACACAGGAAGACTTGGTGACTTGGTACTTGTTCTGTTTTCTCTGCGCTTCAGTAACAAGTGTTGGCAAATGAGACTTTCTCCTGGCCCCAGCCCACTGGGGATCAGCATGGTTGTTCTTCCAGTCAGAAATGTCCTCTTGTGTACGAGTGAGGGTGATGGGCCAGGCACAGAACTGGAAGCAAGCATCTGGGGAGTGGGACTTCGAGGCCACACTTGGGAAACACTTGGACTGCTGTTGTAAAGCTTTTTTTTTTTTCCTGGTGTCTTCGTTCTACAGCTGTTTGAAATGTTTAATAAAGCTTTATAAACTTTACTTCGTGATTTTATGTGGCTACAGTCCATTTGGGTCATGGTGTTGGATTTCTGAGTTGGTGGGGGGCAGGGTAAAATACTCGGCTGAGTCCTTGGCGCCAGAGCACCTTAGCTAGAGAATTTGATCTGTTCTGTGGAGAGCAGATGGTGGTGTTGGGGGAGGGGCAAGGGGCAATCAAGGCGGTGAACAGGAGGGAGTCTGAAAGTTTTCAGAGATGAGACATTTGCACTTCTCAGCTCCCATGGCTTCCCGCCTGAAACTGTTTGCTTCATAGAAGACTTTAGTAATGGATCCCTTGATAAACAACTTAAGACAGCTGGGGCTCTAATCAAGGATTTGTATGGTGCTGCTTTTGAAGTAAAAATAAGTGAAACCCCTCATGGCATTTCAACTGGAAAAATAAATAAGGCTTGCCATCCACCCAGCATATCTTAGGTGATAGCTAGAAGCATGAGGGGATACAGTCCTCTGCTGTAGACATGTGTTAACTGTGGCTGTGACCTGGGACACTCAGTTGTGGCAGCATGTCACGACCCTGTGCTGGGCATCACCTCCAAGTCTCCTCCCTCTCAAAAAGCAGACTAGGAGCACTGCCTGAGAAATGGGAGCTGTTGTGAGGGTTGCTAAGATAATGTTTGAGGATGATTTGGTGATGTTAGGGAAGTGCACGGTGACCTACCTAGACTTTTCCTTTATTATCCAGTGGGAAAACTGGATTTACCTCTGCTCTCCTGCCTTTGTTTGTTTGTTTGTTTGTTTGTTTGTTTGTTTTTGCATTCCTGATATTGCTGGCCCATGCTTTCCTCTTCTTGATTATAACTTTCCAAAGAGCCAGGTGTAGTGGTTCACACCTATAATCCTAGCACTTAGGAAGCTGAGGCAGGAGGATTGCCAACCTAGGCTACAGAGTGAGAACCTATCTAATACAAAACAAAATAAAATGACCAAAGATGTGTCTGTTTTAGAAGGGTTTTCTTTGAAAATTGGCAGTGATCGTTCTTGGGATGTCTGTCTGCTTCGGTGTTGCTCTGATCTCTTGAGGTCTTTACTATGTGTAGCTGTTTGGAGTTCTGCAGAGCTCGACAAGCTGAGGAGCTGGGCGTAGGGAAAGGCCAGTTTGTTCAACAAGCACAGAGACCCTGTACAAGGCTTGCTGGGGATTTGAGGACAAGCAGGCCTGACACTCCAGGACCTCATGATTCTAGCCTAGTGGGGAGACTTAGCAAAACAGACAACTGCAGATTCCCAAAACAAAACAGACAGACAGAGGCTTTTGTGTCCCTCTCCTGTGGAGGCACCTGGATCAGAAATGAAGCCAAGATCATTGCTTATTTTGCTCTCCGTTGGAAAGCAGCTTTCTGTCTTAGATCATGTGCTCAAGAGTCACATATAGGCTTCCCTCCAAGAGATTTGTGGTCCTTTCAGTAGGGTGCTGATAGCCCATCCTTCTCAGGGTGCTTGCCACCTGGGGGTTCTGTCTGCCCACAGGGTTCCCTACATCTCCTAGGATGCTATCCCTCTTCCTGAACTATCTTCCAGGAAAGCAAAAAGAAGACACTTCCTGTGCAGAAGGCCCCCAGGCCTTCGAGGGCCTCACACTGCACTTCTGTTGCCACTGGGACTCTTTGAGAAGGTGTCCCGCTTCCGCTGTCAGTTCCTGATCAGAAAAATGTGGTCTTTGGAACAAACACAGTTCTCCCAGCCCTGGTGATCTGGGAGTCTTTTCTGTTCGAATCCTTGGCTGATGGGAGAGCCCAGCCGAGGAAGGTGGCTGGACTGAGTTGGCGACAGAGTACTTGAGAGCTGCCTGCATGTGCCTTGATCAGTGTGCCATGTGTGCCCAGACTCTACTTGGGGCAGGGAACTTCATTTCTTCCTTCTCTGTGCTGAGATCTTGTCTACAGCCCATCCATCATTCAGCTGTCATGCATACTGTTGCTGAGCTATGGCAGAGTTCCTTTAGCAGCTGAGTCCCTGGAGGGCATGGCCCATGAGTCCTGCTCAGGAGACCTGCCTTATTATTCTCCAGTTTTTGTCAGAGTCTCGTGTGGTGAGACCCTGGGACCACAGTGGACAGTTTCCACTGCCACAGTGTCCTCCAGACTAAAGAAAAAGGGGAGAGTATTTACTGGTCAAGTCATCCTAGAGATCCGTGGCTAGGCACTGTGGCAGGGTTCTGAGGGTCTCAGGAAGGAGCTGATGCAGACTAGGAGGACTGGCTTTCAGACCTGGAGATCAAGTGGGACTGTGTGAGCAGTGAAGTAATACAGGAGATGCTGCTTGTCACCATCTAATCCAGCATCTTGCCAACAGATAGAGACTGAACTGCAAAGTAAAATGAAGGACCACTAGTATCTGGCTGCCTTAGAAACAGACCCCAGAAAGCTTCTGGGGAAAAAGGTCAGTCTATTTTAACCTAGAACACTGACAGTTGGGGGGCACTAAGGGAGGGTTTTAAAGCTGAATTGCTGCTAGCAAGCCCCAAAACCGTCCTGAGAGCTCCAGTTGCCAGCTGACGAGGAGCCATCACAGTAAGCAGTATGTGAGGTGGGCTTCGTCCCATAGGGGTGTGTAGCTCACTGGGAGTGAGGAGAAAGGGCTTCCAAGTGGCAGTGGTGAGTTCAGCGTGGCAGTACTGGGTGAACAGGGTGTGTTGAAATCAGCATTGTCCATCTGAGTCAGGCCAAGCCACATAGCTGGAGGGTCCATAGCAGCCTGTCTCTTTGGGGAATCTAGGAAAGGGACTCAAACACTAGGGCCAGGAGTGGACTAGAAGACTAAAAACCCTCCTAGGAGGAGTCAAGGAGCCCTGGGTCTTATGCTTGCCTTTGTTACTTGCACCTGTCCACATCCCTCCACCCCCAGCCTTAGTTTCCTCCCCTTAAAGTGGAGGCCATTAGCATCAGCCTCAGGGTAGTCTCCAATGGCACTCCTCTGTCAGTGGGAGGGCACTCCATGTCTCTGACTAGGCTGTCTCCTCAGAGCAGCCAGTACAGGGGCATGTGTGAGGGTGCCTTGTCGGATCTGCTTGAACAAGACCCTCCTAAAGACAAATCTCTGGGTAGTTCTGGCCTCTCACTTGCCCTGGGCAGTTGTAGAGAGCACATACTTGGACAGCTTGCCCATGCTGCCATTCCCCTGTCCCATGCTAGTGGTGACAGCCTTCCAAAAAAAGACAGGAAGACACAGAAGATTGTAGGGCCCTGGGCTTGATTCCTCACCACTTGGCATGTGACCTTGTTCTTCACTGCTCATGTTCCTTGAGGCCTGGTGCCCCGTTTATTTATTAGTTAAGGAAGAAGTCTTTACCATTTCCAGAACCATCTCCTGTGAGACATTGGTGACCTTTACTCTTGTTACTTTAGTTTTTTGGTTTTTGTTTTTTTTTTAAATGCTGGCTAAAAGTTGTTAAGGCAGTGAAGGATTTAATCAAAGGATTTTGCATTAGAGGAATCAACTTTTTTACTTTTGCATGCAGAAGTGCCAAGAATATCCATGTATAGCCAAGGCAGATGTGGAAGGGCCCGTGAGGGAGGAAACAGACAAAACATTTCAGTGGTTCCCTGGTTCCCACGCCTTAGCTGGATCATTGAGGTCCTGCATGACCCTTAATCCTAGAGGCTTTGTCACTTGACCAGTCACAGAACCTGCCTGACCAGGCCTGGCACAGTACCTGTTAGTCTGTGGCTTTATGGGTAAATAGGTGGTGGTTCAGTCAGTCAATGCTAGACTCCTAAAGGCACTAGGTGACTGGTCTTTCCTAGAAGGCAGAAAATCACCTCCCAAGACTCCTCTTGGCAACTCTGAAGTGACAAGGATTATTTTCCAGACTAGTCGTTTAAGAAGAACCTCCAAAAGCACACAGCTTGGCATCCTTTCTGTAGCAGAGAGCCTATGAGGCAAGCGCCTGGCAGGCCGGAGGTAGTGGATTCCTGATTAAATCTCGTCTCCTGCCTTGTGCCCTCAACCCCATGTGTTTGGAAGTGTCCTTTTCCTATTGTCCCTCCTGCCTGGCACATCGGTGAGCGGGCAGCCGTGCAGAGTGCAGACTCCCTGTTCTGCAACCAAGCCCATCCCTGGCAAGTTGCTCGCTGCGTACAGATTGACAGCGGCCCACTGGCCCTTCATCCCTGAGCTCTGATAGACCATACACTGAGTTCCTGGCTGGCTGGCATTCTCTTGCCTTTGCCATCTTCTTTCCTCAGAAATCGTGGGCATCATCACCAGTGACGGGCTCAGAACTGCCTTTCTTCAGGCCCACTTCACTGCTGGATACCTGCATCTCTGAAAACCCTCTGCCAGGTGTTAGCCTTCCTCCGGGCCCTCTGCCCAGGAAAGACCAGCCTCTGCAGCCCACAGGCTTCAGTTCTGTAAGGCCGCCTGCTCACAGACAGACAGGGTTCTTTGTAGGGCTGCTTTTAGTGGGTGGCAAAAGGGTTTGCTTATTTTCACTTACTGGTCAAGTATGAACTATTGTTTCCACACTCAAGAGCCATTTTTGTGGATACTATGTGATTCCATTTTGCACAGACAAGAACTGTGGCCCACAGGGGCTTAACACACACCCAACTCTTCCCATAATGGCCCTCATATCTGTGCCCACCTACAACGTGGTGTGCAGTTGTGGCTAATACTGGAATTGGGAAGACTAGCCTGGACCTCCTCAGCCCTCCTTAGCTGACAGCACTTCTGTACCTGTCTGCAAACCCATCTTTCTGGCCCCTCGGTGTTTCCCAGGCCCACAGCCTTCTCTTCATTTGGATCCAGTCATTCTGGCTGCTCAGTTGCACCTGTGTCTCTGAGCATCCAGCCCGACTCCTTTTACCCGTGGTCCATACTGCTGCTGTCAGCCTTCCCTCCTAACTTAGGGGTGCTCTGTGGCACTCAGCTCACTTTTGTCCTTTTACAAAAATGGCATGCTTACAGTCTGGCTGGCACCTCTGAGCTCCTTCTCCAGGTGCCAGAGACACTCACCTGTCCTTAACAAAGTTGGTCCAGAAAGGTGTCAGGGTGACAGCTGCTGCCATCATGAAGACCAAGAAGAAACCACTGCCTCTCTGAGGGGATCTTACCATCCCTCTTGGGATTAGTGTAGTGATAGCGGCAGAGGATGAGAGAGTGAAGGGACCAAGAGAGCAAGGTCGTTTTCCCAGCTTTGAAGGGAGAGAGCTGGAGAGGCACCTCCTTTTGGACGGCTCTTTTTTATACGGCTGCTATTTGGCAAGTGCTTTTCTCGGTCAGAAGGCATGAGCATGTCAGCAGGACCTCCTGAAACCTCTCAGCACCCAAGAGTGGCACAGCTGTGCCCACTGTACAAGTGGCTTCCAGATGTGAATTGCCCAGGAGGAGAAGCAGACCTGGGACTTGCCCCTGTCCTTTTGTCCTCCAGAGCTTTACCTTAACTACTGTCCTCCTCCTCCCAGTCATGAGTAGAGGAGGGGTGTCGAGCGGCGAAGGTGGAGTGAGGGAAGATGGAGGAGGTTGATGGGACTCGAGGGCTGGGACACACCTGCTCAGGGGGAAGCGGGGGAGAGAACTTTTTAAAATAGTCAAACTGGAAATAAAAACCTATTAAAAGTTGAGGGTGAGGGAGGGAAGTAGATATTGAAAAGGTGTTAAACTGAAAAGCAAAGAAATGGCATCAGGAAAACTAAGGCTGGCAGTGAGCAAGGACAAGCGATGGTCCATGTCCCGATTGCTCGGAGTGGACTGAACTATTTAATCAGGGTTAACCTGGGACAGCAAGCATGGAACAACCCACCCACCCAAACCAAAGTGGCTTAGCCCTGGGCCAGTGACCTCGTCTGTTCTGAAACAATTGCTGGGAGGTGCTAAATAAATATTTGCTGATAGGAAATGAACATCTGAAGTGAGAAATGACATGAAATGAAGAGCTGGGCATGGAGGCTTATACTTATCATTCTAGCACTTGGGAGGTAGAGGTAGAGGGATCAGGAGTTCAGGGTCAATCTTGGCTGCAGAAAGAGTTAGAGGCCAGAGCTGTGTGCTGGTGGCAGCACACTCTAATCCCAGCACTCAGGAGGCAAAGGCAGGTGGATCTCTGAGTTTGAGGCCAGCCTGGTCTACAGAGCGAGTTCCAAGACAGCCAGGGCTGCACAGAGAAACTTTGTCTCAAAAAACCAAACAAACAAAAAGTAGAGGCCAGTATGAGCTACATGAAACCTTGTCTCCAATAAATAGTACACAATCAAGTGAAACTATCAGTGTTACGCTGCTGCTGATGGAAGGGAACCAGGAGTCCCATCCATTGGCCAGATGGGTGTGGCTACCTGGGGCGTTCCAAGCACTGATACAGATAGTGCTTAAGTCTAGGAAGACAACCCTCCCTTGATCCACAGGTCTGCATGGCGTTTGGGGGGTCTTATGCCCTTGTGGTTCTTGAGATTTGAGGATCCCCTAGAGATCAGTCTTGGATGAGTTTTTTCCACCACCTAGGGTTCTCAATTGTCCAGATTTCACACAAGGGATCTCCAACAAGAACTAGCAAACATAGCCTGTCCTCTCTGGTTGTAGCGTCCCTTTCACACAATGTGCCACTTCCCTGGATAGAAAAAAAAAATATTACCTGAGTCTTAAAACCCATAGTTCCATTTTATTTTTCCTCTGTGTTTTGTTTTAAAGTTTATTTTTATTTTATGTGTATAAGTGTTTTGCCTTCATGTATGTAAGTGCACCATGTGTGTGCCTGGTGCCCATAGAGGCCAGAAGACAGCATTGGATCCCCTGGAACTAGAGTTACAGACAGTTGTGAGCTGCCATGTGGGTGTCAGGAACTGAACTCAGGTCCTCTGCAAAAGCAGCTACTGCTGTTAACTGCTGAGCCATCGCTCCAACCCCTGTACTGTTTTTAGTCGAGATTAGATAGGTCAAGTCCTCATCCTGATCTCCCCCAGTGAGAATGCTTCTCCACTGACTTGCCAGAGTTACCACCCACCACTCACCAGGCCTGTCCCCCATCTGCAGAGGGAGGCCGCTGAACTAGGTTATCCCAAGTTCCTTTTCAGTGCTAACATCACATCTTCAGGGGCTCCTGGGCTTGTGACAGTGCTGATGGGGAATGGAGACCCCAGACTTGTCACCTCCACATTTGGAACATGGAGGGATCAAGATAGCTGTAGTCCCAAGAAGGCGAACTTGCCAGGAACTGGCTGAGATGATTCTGCTGCTTGTGGTGAAATGTCTTGGCAGACCATTCAGGTAGGTCGGTACAGGTGAGGGAGAGGGTGGGGTTGACATTCTTTCGGCCCCTGAGTGATGTTTCCTTGCAGGATTGGATGCCTACAGACTAGTGGATGCCAACTAGATGGATCCATCCACATTGGCAAAGTAGGTGAGTCGTCTCTCCACATAATCTCCTGGCAGAATTCTAACGGCTTTCTCACCTTGAAATGCTATTCTGTGTTCACTGTCATTGTTTCCAGTCAGACCTTCCTTAGCCTTCTGGGTCTCTGTCCAAGTGGCACATTCTTTGAGAACGTAGCTCCAGATGTCATCATCAATCAGAAATAGCTAAACTCAGAACTGGGCAAGAGGAGAAGGCTTGTTTAAAGCCAAGGTTGTTGATCTGTTGTTTGCTACAAAGAGAGCCCTATTCTAAACCCACCTCAGAGCTTAGTTGATAGGACCCGAGTTCAATCCCCAGCCCTGTATAAAAAAAAAAAGCGAAGATAGATATTGGCAGCACACACCAGATGACTAGAGAGGGTCGGTGGGGCTTGCTGGCTGGTCAGTCTGGCAAATTTTGAGCTCCAACCAAAGGTCCCATCTCAGAAAATAGAGTGACAAAGACATCTGTGGCTTGACATATACACAAGGTGCAGACAGATTTACAGGAATCAAGCCCAAAACTGAGCTGTGACTGGCGTCCAGTTACAACTTGGATCCTGCTGAGGGGACTGAGAAGGTGCCATTGGAAGAGACCACAAAAGCACATAGGTTCCAGAAAGCCAACAAAGAGTTTGCTGCACAGCTCTGGGGACAGGGCAGAAGTCACCCAGGTGGGGGACAATCGACCTCTAATGTGGCTGTGAGGAGGGAGAAGGGGGCTGCAGGTCCTCCAGCACCAGGAAGGCACCCCTGCTCCCCGGCCACACCAGGACAGGGGAAGGCTGGGCCAGCCCGCCTGCAAAGTGGGGGCAGACACAGAGGGCCCCAGAGCAGTGGGATTAAGTGTTGAGGTGAGGGGATTAGTTGTGTTGGTAGAAGGAGCAAACTGCACTCATGTTCCTTTTTCCTGGGAACCTGATCTCCATGTTCTCAGGGAGCCTTCATCTGCCCTGTGGGTCCTAACTGCAGCCTTAATTAGCTGTGGCTTCTTCTTGCCTGGTGGCTGGGGTCGTATCTTATCACTCTTTGTAGCTCTGGGCGCCTAGCAACAGGCAGCTGTCGAGGTAGGGGCAGAATAATCATTGTCTGTCTCAACTCCAGTGTCTGAAATGGAGATTCAGATAGATTCTTTTTGTCACAAAGACATTATATCATGACAGGGAATGAACAAATGACATAGCAGTCATGGTTACTCTATCTAGATCTCAGGGAATGTTCCCTGGCCTTAGTGTGGGCTCAGCTCCTCATAATATATGTCATGGGGTCATGGCCACTATCTCATCTGATCACTACAGCCCCTCCACCTGCATGCAGTGAGGCAGCCAGCCCGCTGGCCTGTTTCATAGGGGAGAAAAGAGACCTGGAGAAGCCAAGCAAGGAGAGTGGTGAGAAGTACAGGGATGAGGACGAGGGCACGGCTTGGAGTTGCTTGGTCTCTCCTAGATGGCATATACCGAATTGTAACTATTTCTTCCATACTTGCACAGAAGTCAAAGTCAGTTGAGCTGCCTGAGCATGGGCATGCATGCCTTATGGGACTTGGTAGTGTGTCTTCTGCATAGTAGAGCAGCCCAGGTTCCACCTCAACTACATGAGAATTTCTACCAGGAAGTCTCATAGGTGTTAGAGCTAAGTGAGGAGTGAGGGATATAGAAAGCCCCAGATCTCTGATCTCCTATAAGCATCTGGTCTCTCCAAAGGCAGGAGATTACATGAGAGACAGCTCTCAACTAGACCAGTAGGGTTTCAGAGGAGTGGGTCAGAACCTCTGGTAGACAGAAACTAGAAGTACTTAGAATGGTTGGCTGTTATTAAGAGGTCAGGCTGGGGCTGGAGAGGAGGTTCCATGGTTAAGAACTTGGCTTCTAGTACCCATCCATGCTGGGTCTTCTGACCTCTTCAGGCTCCTTAACTCACATACATACACATACATTCTGGCATGCACACACACTTAGACGGTCAGGCCTGGAGTGGCCCTGGTGTCTTGAGTGGAGCCCTGGTGGGTGGCAAGCTTCTGGGTTGGGGAACACAGTATTGCAAGACAGTCAAGACATTGGAAAGTGGCTCAGATATGGCCAGGGTATTGAGGACAAAGACAGGTGGGCCTGGTGACACCTGAACTCTAGCTTGAGGACTGAAGAAAGACACAACTGGCCTGGAGTCATTGCCACTCTGTAATGGGGACCCAAAAAAAGTGATTTGTTAGGGAGCATGTGGAGAAGATGGCACAGGGCCTAGGTCAAGACCAGAAGTTAGAAACATTCAAGGAGCTGATCGAGATGGCAGAAAGGAAAGGACCTGAGAGATGCAGCAAACACCTAGGAGAGGGGGTTGCCATGACAACCAAGGTAGTAAAGAGTTTCAAGGAGAAAGTAATCAACATTGTCAAATGTGGCAGCAATTCCAATCAGATAAGACAGGAATTTCCCCTTTGGACTTGAGGATTAGCTGACTTGTACTGGCTTTAAAAGAGCATTTAGGGGGAGTTGTAGGAACATAAGGGGGGGGGGATTGATGTTGACATGCAAGTGGGGCATGAGACTGTCACTAAGTCCTTTAAGGAATCAAGAAGGAAAACTTGGAGATGTGAAAGATGGGGGTGTAGAGGTGAGGCTAGGAAGGATGAGCACATTGTTCACTAACCAGTGTTACAGTCACACCTCCAGTGTCCTCTGCTGTGCACCTGACAGTATGCCTAACTCTGTGGCTTCTTTGGGCACAACCGTGCAGTGAGGAGAAAGACAGAATCAGTCATGCTCATCGGTGTATAGTGCCCATATTGATCCGTGTATAGTGCCCATATTGGCAGAAACATGCTCCAGACCAAGAGGGGAAGTCCAGCAGAGCATATTCTGGGTCAGGGGCAATCCTGTGCCAGAGGCTTACCCCAGGAAAGACAGAAGTAGAATCCAGAGGCAGACAGACAGGGAGGAGCTGTGGAGAGGAAGGGACAGACAGAGCCCTGGCCTTTTTCTTCTTAATCTTGAAGGAAAGAGCAAAGCTGGTACATGGATATTCTGGGATGTGGAGCCAGAGTAATTGAACAATTAGGGATGGAGACAATTATTTGAAATAAGCTCCCAAAGGGGCTGGGATCAAGTGCAGAGGAAGATAAATTAGTTTGGAGCAATAATGTGTATATGACCAAATGTGGGCAAAACTCAATTATTTACCTTTTAGAGAGCAATATGATCCCATGTTCTTTTGGGAGCTTTTATCTGCCCTGTATCCTGCCTGCATGTCTAATTAGCACCAGTTTGGTCCTGTTTTGTGGCTGGGATCATGTCCTAATATTTTGTGTGCAATAGACTGAACTCTTTAGGTGCCAAGCCAGTGTTCTGTGCCTTAGACTGGAATTCCAAAAGTCAACATGTATTCTTGTATCAACCAACAAGTATGACTGTTGCAGAGCCAAAAAGGGGAATTGGAGCAGTTAAATCTGGGCGGCAGCCATTTGGGTGACTGGATGGAGAAAAAGTAGTCTCTCCTCACCCATCCTGTGAGCTCTAGGTTCACATCCACCACCTCACATGAACTTCATCTCCTTCACAAGACGCAGTGTTCTGTGTTCCCTCCAGGAGGGAGGGAAAGCTGGAGAAGACACACCTGATCATGCCAACACCACACTAGTGACAGGAGATGGTTGTCGACTTCCAGCCGGGGTGGCAGGACCAGTCAGAGACAGACACAGAAGAGAGGAGAGAAAAGAAAACAGGCTGGGAGGGTCGGGCCGGCCCACCCAAACAGTAGATAGAAAGCTGGTCTTCCTGGAGCCGTGTCCACTCTGAGAGGGACCCATCAGGCCTATCTTCCTGCACTAGTATGGTCTGGAGACAGGACCCTCCCCAGGGGCAGACAACTCTCTGGTGTCATTGCTGTGCTTTTGTGTTTACTCCATCTGAGGCACATTTTTGTGCGTGATGTGATAGAGCTGGAGTCCCACGGACAGCAAGCTTGCTGAACACCTCTCACAGCCCTGCCCGACTGTCCTCCCGGATCCTGTGACAAGTCTCTTCAGACTGCTGATCACTGTGTGTTTTTGTGAGCCAAGGCTGTATTTTAATGAGCAAGGCTTTGAAAAGTGTCTTAATACCTGATACGGTAAGTACCCTTACCCTGTCCTCTATTCTTTTTAAAAAATCACCTTCTTATATTGCTGGTTTACTTTTATATATCTTATAATTAGCTTGTCAAAGTTCCATGGGGGGAAAAAAAACCTTATTAAGTGAGACTGCATTGGAGGGAAAAATAGCATCATTAGGATGCCATCAGCTTCTCCCATCTGCGACTGCGGCGCCGTCTCCCGTGGTCAGTCTCCCTTGTTTGGTGTGGTTTTGCTTTGCTTTTAATACCTTCTAATAAAAGCTGGCCCCGCAGGTCATAGACATCCTCCACATTTCTTAATGGCTTGACTCCTGAACACCTTATTAGTTTTGTTGCTTTTGTGAATGGAAAAACTTGCCCAGTTTTTCATTTCACTTTCCAAATTTTAATCAATTTGCTAATCACTGTGCAGCATTCACAGACACACACCAAGTGAACGTGCTTTGTCCCTGGACAGACAAATCAGAGTACAGCACACGTGCATTCTCAGCTAATTGGCAAGGAATGAATTTGAATGTTTGAATTAAATTTCAATTATACAAGTAAAACACAAATACATTTTCTTTTCAATACAGTCCACATTACAGATGGGGCATCCCTACTTGGCCCTTAGCCTCTGCCTTGGGTCCATACACCTTCAGGGGAGAGCTGATATTAGTGCCTCTGTTTGTCTAGTGTTTGCTTGTGCCCTTTCCAACATGTCTGTTCTTTTGTTGGTCTGTCTGCATAGGCAGGTGGTGTCCACTGGAGGTGCTTTCTACGCTGTGTGCCCTGCAGGACTCGCCTCGAGCGGCTGTCTGCTTCTCCGTTCACTCCAGTGCTCCACGCAGCTGGCCGCACACAGCCGCAACAAGCATGTCCCCTTCTGTTTTAATGTTTCCTATTGGTTGACTGTAGAAATGCCTTTGGTGGTTTTCATAACAAACACGCTGAGGGTACCCTTCACTAGTCCCCTTTTGCTCACATACACATATTTCTGTAGGACAAGTACTTGGAACGGTTGGGCCACAGGGAAGACACGTCCTGAATTCAGATAAAAACAGCTACAGTCTCCTGCCAGAGCCTCTCCAACTTTAACATTTCCCCAGTTGGATGGGTAAAAAGACTGTCACGGGTTAGTGTACCCTGTCATGCCACAGCTGAAGCTTTTGTTTGCCTTCATTCCTAGTTCTCTCTCTGGATCGTATGGCCAAGTCCTTCTTGCTTCTCTGCCTCTGCCTGCTTGCCTCCCTCTCCCTTTCTTTCCCTCCCTCTTCCCATCTCTCTCTCTCTCTCTCTTTTTCTTCCATTATTTGAGACAAGGTCTCACTAGGTACCCCATCCTAGCTTCAAATTCAGGGTCCTCCAACCTCAGTCTCACTCAGCACTGGGATTATAGGTATGATACCACATCTTGCCCATTTCTTTTCTTTTTCTTTCTTTCTTTCTTTCTTTCTTTCTTTCTTTCTTTCTTTCTTTCTTTCTTTCTTTCTTTCTTTCTTTCTTCCTTCCTTCCTTCCTTCCTTCCTTCCTTCCTTCCTTCCTTCCTTCTTTTCTTTCTTTCTTTCTTTCGAGATATTTTATCTTTCATTGGTTTCTGGTTCTTTATCTATTTCCTGCATTTTATATACTAATACTGTGTCACTAGTGACAAGTATTTCTCTACATTGTAGTTCCTTTGCCATTTAGTTGAATTGCTTTTAGAAACAATTGAAGTTTTGATGCGGTCATCTGCTGGTTTTACTTTTACACCTCCTTTTGGCAACCTTAAGAAGCCGCCTTTAGCAGGGCGGCGGTGGTGCACACCTTTAACCCCAGCACTCGGGAGGCAGAGGCAAGCAGATCTCTGTGAATTTAAGGCCAGCCTGGGCTACAGAGTGAGTTCTGGGACAGCCAAGGCTACACAGTGAAATCCTGTCTGTCTTAAAAAAACAAAAAAGAAGAGGCCTTCTTTTATATTAATTTCAAGGCATTTTTTCCTGTATTTTCTTCTCTGGCATTTATAGTTTACATATATATGTTTATATATAGTTTGTAAATCTATGTTTATGTCATGTATAAAGAATAAATTCCGTATTCACGAATCTTATCTAATGTCATCACCCTACTCTTTTGTAGAATGTCGATGGTATCATTCTAAGCCTGCTCCCTTTACCTGGTACCACCCCACTGGCCGGGTGCACTGTGTAAAGCCGTCCCTGGTCCTCTGCCTGTCTGCTCCCAGGCTTGCTGATAGACTGTGGTAAGAGCAGAACCGACTCCCCCTCTCCGCTGTGCAGAGCTGATCTGCTCAGCCTTGTGCCTTAGTCCTACCATACAAATTTTAAATTTATTGATTTCCAAGAGAACGTTTGTTGGAGTTACACTGAATTCACAGATAAGCCTGCGAGAAATCAGTCTCTCTTTTTTTTTTCTTTTTTCTTTTTTTTTTTTGGTTTTTTCAAGACAGGGTTTCTCTGTGTAGCTTTGCGCCTTTTCCTGGAACTCACTCGGTAGCCCAGGCTGGCCTCGAACTCACAGAGATCCGCCTGGCTCTGCCTCCCGAGTGCTGGGATTAAAGGCGTGCGCCACCACCGCCCGGTTCAGTCTCTCTTTTTTGTGTTCTCGATGCACCCTCCCAGCCCAGGGCATCTGTCCCTCTGGAGAAGATGGCTGCTTTCTCTGGGTCATCTTGCTTTTTGTTTCTTGATGGATTTAATCCTCAGTCCTCTTAGTCCTCTTACAGGGTTTTCCTGTAGCTCTGGATGGCAGGTCCCCTCGGCTCCTGCTTGCTTGACCCGTGTTCTCCATCTCAACCACTCACTAATCAGTGAGCTTGCTCTGCAGACACACACAGAGTAAACGTTCTTCCTCCCTGGGCACAAACACACGAGCACCGCCGAACACAGAGCTGGCATAATTAGCTGAAAACAAATTAGAATCTTTCCAAATTACACTTTAATTAAGCAAGCAAAGCCTGAATACATTCTCCCTTTTAGAGGTGGAATGGCGTGGACCCAGCTGCTGTCTCTGCCACCTGAGACTGGGGCCTTCTCCTCCAGGAAGACTCTGTGCAGAGCTTCAGGGATGTCTTTTCAGAATAACATACATCTTAGCAATGGTGAGGGGATCTGGAACGGATGCGGCCTAGTCATGGGTGTTAAGCGGTACTTGTCTCATTTACTGTCTGCCTGGGTCATACTTACCTGTGTTCTGTTTGCCCTTCCAAACACCACTATCCTGAAGTTCCGGTTTTTCCTCAGTCAGAAAGAGCACACAGAACTCCAAGGCACAGGCTCCAGAAACACTCTTCAGGGCCAAGGTATCCACTGTTTGAGTTTTTGGTTGATTTTGATTTTTGAAACAAGATTTCATGTAGCCCAGGCTGGCCTCAAACTCTCTGTATAACCGAGGATGACCTTGAACTCTGGTCTCACTGCTTCCCCCTCCAATTGTTAGAGCTACGGGCCGCTACATCCAGTCAGATTTAGACTCTTACTTTGCCTTCTGAAGGCCTTCCCTTCACCAGCCTTACAAATATTTTTCCACTTTTTTTCCTCTGAAAACTTGCTGCTGCTTTTCTTACATTTGTATCACATGATTGTTTTTCAGCTCTCACATCTAACACATCACTGCAGGCAAAGTTTATTAGAGTGTGGTATTGGTGTTTAGTTTTGATACATTTCAAAATGGATGACTACGTTTTCCAGTACAAGGTACTGGCCATGCTGTCCTCTCCTCCAGTGATTCTGGCTCACTCCCAGCTCTGTCCAGCACGGCTCCTCCTCTCCAGCCATCCGTTGGCTCCCTGGAGTTGCTTTGATAACAGCCAAAGCAATCCACTCTGTTGGTTTTGTGGCCTCATCTTGGTCTTGTATGTTGTCACACAGTTTACATTTTTGAACCAGCTGCTCAAGCTTTAAAACCTTGCTGGGATTTTTAGGGGATCTGTGCATGAATTTGAGGGAAATGGGCATCTTTATCTTGTAGCACATATGGTGTCTCCCAGTTCCAGGCATCTTCCTGCCTTTTAGAAGTTTGGTGTTTTTCCTCTGGTGACAGTCTTGCCTATTTCTTGGTTTATTCTTAGGTACTTAAGGTTTTGCTAGCAGCCCTCTGCTCCTGCTTGCTTGACCCGTGTTCTCCATCTCAACCACTCACTAATCAGTGAGCTTGCTCTGCAGACACACACAGAGTAAACGTTCTTCCTCCCTGGGCACAAACACACGAGCACCGCCGAACACAGAGCTGGCATAATTAGCTGAAAACAAATTAGAATCTTTCCAAATTACACTTTAATTAAGCAAGCAAAGCCTGAATACATTCTCCCTTTTAGAGGTGGAATGGCGTGGACCCAGCTGCTGTCACCTCTACCAAAGTCCTATATCCCACCTCCCCCTCCCCCACAGCTTTGTGCATCTGTTTCTAGGGCATGCATGAAATCCATGCGGGTGCTTTGAGGGAGTCCACTGTGTTGAGAGCTTGCCGGAGGCTGCATCTTGACGCGCTCTAGTGTCTTTACAACACAGCCATGCAGATTCCGAAAGCTCTTGTCCTCTAACACAGTGGAGCATGTATGCCCTCAGTTCTCACATTCTCCATCTCCAGGCTCCACCAACATTTAGTTGATTCTTTGTCTTTATTCTGTTCTGAGCAGCCTTTTCTTGGCACTGATGAAGAGGTAGGATGCTGGGTCTGCACGTTTTCAATTTTAGCAGACTTCACCGGTGCCCTCCATGGTTTCTGTACCATGCAAGCATCTAGCCAGAGGCTGACTTTAATCCCCACACCGTGAGCAGTTGTCAGTGTTTGCCGATCGGATGGGTGAAAAAGTTAAATCCCTTTTTAAATTTGTATTTTCCTGTTTGCCAGTGAGGTTTTCGTGTGTACATTGGGCATTTTTTTTATTCCTGCCGCTCTGAACTGCCTGTTTTTGCATTAAGCTCTTCATTGACCTGTACAATGTCCTGATGTAATCTGGATAGTAAGCTTTTGTGCATTTTGGACAAATATTTTTTTCTGGCTCTCAGCTCTGTGTAGACTCCTGTGTTAGACAGAAGTGACCAATTTCGATCTAGTGCATTTCCTCAATCTCCTTTATTGCTTTTTGAATATATATCATATTTGGTTTAAATGGACCCTTTATTCTTTTCTAATGGTTTCACAGTTTTTGTTCTTGGCTCTTTCTTGTATCTGAAATGTATTTCTGATTGAATTGAGACAGCATCTAACCTTTCTCAAAACGGACAGCCAATTATCGGAACACAATAGAATGATCGGCTTGTTCATCCTTTCTCTGCCGCTCTGATGGGATGCTTCCTCTAGACTGAGGCCCCATTGCTAGGAGGCTGCGGGGCCCCTGGTTTGTTTTTTTTTTTTTTTTTTAACTAATCTGTTTATTCCTGTCAGCACAAGACTTTAATTTGCCATTGCTTTTTTACCACCTTTCGGTATCTGTTAAGTAAAATGCCACATGTCACCGTACTTCCCTACAGCCGTCTTAGCTCACTCCTCCACACGGATTTTAAAAGCCGCTTGTCAAATCCTGTGAATGCCGAGATTAACGGGGAGACTGACATCAGTACAATGCTGTGCCGTTCACTGCAGGGACGAGGCAGAACTCTGTTTGTCCATCATGTCTTCCACACACCCAGCTTTCTCCTGAGAAACTTGTGGCTTTCCTCTCGGGTTTCTTTCTTTGATTTCCATTAGTGTTGTGAATGAGTCCTCACTGCCGCCTCCCCCGTTTTGTTTGGCTTTTGTTTGCTACATTTCTTTTTAATCTCCTTTCTAATGGCTGCACTTCATTCACAGACACACACAAAGTAAATGTTCTTCCTCCCTGGGCACAAACACGCAAGCACAGCCGAGCACAGAGCCAGCATAATTGGCTGAAAATGAATGGGAATTTTTTCAAATTAAAGTTTAATGACACAAGCGAACATGAATACATCCTCCTTTTTAAGAACCAGAGCACCGCTGCCAGAGCCGGAGCCCCTTCTGGCCACCTGCTTCCATCCCATTCCCTTCCTCTTCCCCAGGGGCAGCCACCGTGATGGCTTGGTGTGGACTTTTCTAAAAACTTGTAAATGTACCTGTGCACCCACAGGAAATAGAGAATTTTGTCGATACTCAGTTTTTACACTGAGTGACTATTATTAAGGCTGCAGAATGGGGTGGCAGGATTGCCACGCATCCTGATGTGGCAGTGGGGGAGGGCGGGCGGGTGCAGGGAAGACTGAGCAGCTGTGGACACATGGAGGAATGAGGAAGGAAGGGGCAGCTAGATCCCATACCAGTCAGAGATCACAGAATAGAACTTTAAACCGTGTGTGGGCATGGGGCTGTCAGGAGTAGTTTCCAAAGGCCCCAAAGCTTAGTCTGTCATGTGGGACATAGAGGTCTTACAGATAAGAAAGGGGTATAGCAGGTTTTTATAGTTTTATAGCAGGTTTTATAGTTTTGAGACCTCCTGTGAACCCATTTCAGTGTCATGGGACTTAGAAGGGCAGCTTCAGGGCCCCGCTTCACTCCCTCGCCAGAGATGTGCTGGCGGCTTTCCTGGCCTTCCCCTTCCCTTTCTGTCTAGGTGCTGCTGGGTGAAAACATGAAACTTGGAACTCTGGCAGCCATCCTGCGATCAGGAGGGGAACGAGACTGCTGACTCTGAGCCAGCCTACCTGCAACCACTGACTTCTGGATTGTTCACACTTGAATAAATGTTCTTGCTGTTAGCTACTCTTAGATGTGATATTATGTTCTGTCGAAAGCACCTTCCTAACACCGGAAGTTTTACAACTGGGGGTGGGGTGGGGGGCAGCCTTAAGGAGTGGAGTCATTCACTGGGTGAGAATCTGGAGGGTTTCCCCTCATGTCCCTGCTGGCCAGCCCTCTTCCTCAGGCTTTCTGCTTCTCCCTTCATGACAGTGATGGATTTGGTGGGTACCAGTGTTTCACGTCTCTCAACATCATGACCTTAAAGGCACCAAGGTGATCCCAATGCTTGGGAGACTAAGGCAGGATGATTGTGAGCTGGAGACCAATGTGGGTTCCATAGTGAGACTCCTTTAAAAAAAAAAAAAAAAAAAAAGACATTGACTTGGGAGTACAGGAGTCTAGGTCCTCTCACTGTGCCCTCTGACCATGCCCTTCAGCAGTCTCCTCTGTGAACCCATAGCAGTGCCCACCTCCGCATGTCACAGGGTCCAAAGAGACTGCCTGAAAAAATGCTCAGCTCGGCTGGCACCAAGCAGGTCTGAGTCCCACAGTTCTGAGCCAGTGCTCCCAGGAAGCAGCTCAAATCAGGATCCACCCCTGGCTCTCAGTGATGGGCAATAAAGGCAGGCCACATACTAGAAGATGAATTCCAGGGAGGATGGAGAAGAGGGGGAGGCCCAGAGCCGGCTGTACAGAGGGAGAATGGAAGCCAGAAGATGGAGCCTCCCCAAAGCATGCTGCCTTGTTCAAGTTCACCACCCACCTCTGCCCCTTTCTGCTCAAGAGCACACACTTAGCTGTAGTGGGTAGCCATTCCAGCTTTGATCTGGAAGTTCCAACCCCCATTGAGACTTCGGTAACTGTCATGCCTACAAGGCGAGGCCGAGAGAGGACCCCGAAGACCTGAGATCCGGATGCGCCGGCTCTCTTGGTTCCTGGACCCAGGACACTGAAGGTAGAGAGAGCAGAGTTCTCCAGAGAACACCGCCGAACTGTGCCACACCTTTCCCAGACCCTGTTACCTATCCCTTCATTTGTAAGTTACCCCACAAAATAAACCTCCCTTTTAATTACATGGAGTAGCCTTAATAATTTTACCAATACTTAGCTGCTTCCAAGAAAACATCCAGAGTTGCCCCAAATATCCTCCTTCCACTTCCAGTTCCTTCCCACCACACCCGCCTTTGTCCCCACGGCCCATCGGCTCATCCGTGAGCATACACACCTGGCGAGGTTACCTCCACTAGTGACTACTGTTCCCCTGACCTGAGGCATCCCTGCTAAATCCTCATTCTGACCATAGGCAGCCCTCACCCACGACCCTTCTGATTGCTTACTTGCTGGGAGAACACCCAGCCCCTCACCATCTTCTGTCGGGGCCCTTGGTCTCACCAGTCCATGCTAGGAGCCTTTGGTCGTCATCTGTTGGTCCTGCCCTGAGAAGAGCTACATAAGTTCCTCGTGTCTCTGTAGGGTTCCTGTCCCACTGGTTCAAACATTTCCATTTAGGCAGAAAGAGATTGCCTGTGTGCTTCCCTTTTAAAATTAGTTGGGTTAACCTGAGGTAGCATTCTTCTGGAGCCACCCACCTTGGCGTTTGATACAGAGTCTCATTGAGACCCGGAGCTCACCAATTAGGCGAGGCCAACTGGCTAGTGAGCCACCAGGATCTACCTGTCTCCCTGGGATTACAAACCAGTGCTACCTTGCCCAGCCTTTGAGGTGGGCGCTGGGGATCCAGCTCAGGCCCTCACATCTACAGAATGCACCTTGCTGACTGAGCGTCTCCATGGCTCCGGTGCCTTTGATTTCCTCCTAATACCCATCCACTAACCAGATGCCTTCCCTGCTGTGGGTTTCAAAAGACTTGAGCATTCCTGTGACACCCATGTCCTCTCCCAAGATCTGCTCAAGTCAGGAGAGAGTGTCAGACCTCACTGTCCAGTCTGTAGAGGTGACCACTGCCCCTTCCTGCCCACCTTATTTGTGTATACATCCACCATCGAGAAAATTGCTCTCCTTGGTGAACTAGGCTGGTCTTAGTGGCCTTTTTGGCCAACACAATGTGGCAGAAAGAATGTTCTGGGGTTGGTGACACAGGGTCATAAGAAGCGACTTGACTTTGGAGCCCACCTGGTGCAGGGAAGCTGTGTGCTGTGAGACATCAGACCACGGTGCACCCATGCAGAGGTAGCTCATGGATGTGCCTGGTCCTGCTGAGCCTCTTGAACACTAAGCCCTATCAAGCCCTGCCGTTTCATTGCCACCGCCTCTCTGCTCAGCTGTGGAAGCCCCAGAGCCTTTAGACATGCTGTGGAAGTTTGGGGCAGCTTGGTACACAAAAAAACAGAACCAAAAAAAAAAAAAAAAAAAAAGACAAGGAGCAGGCTGACCATCAAGTAATATATAAAATAGTACTACACTGCACAGCACCTAAGTAGACCATTACAATACGATATGGGAACTGCAATAGTAGAATGTTTATATGGCACAGAACATTCCAGAAGAGGTTAGAGCATTGCTCTGTCTTCTTTAAAATGAGCAGATAGGTATAAGGTAAAGGGGACTGGAAGGACACTGTAGGCAGAGAACTTGGGAGACTACCATGGTTCTGGAAAGTGGGAAGAAGAGAGAATGAAATTTGTGGGACTAACAGGGCAGAGCCCAGGTACTTCAGGGCCTCATGGCACCATGTGAAGACATCCGGTCACTATCCTACAGTCAGTGGGCCCGTGAAGGGTTTCACTCCATAGTGACGGGTCTGTGATTTTGGAAGATCTCTGTGGTGGCAGATGGGAACACCATATTTGAAGATGACAGTCTCTCGGTAAGAGGACCAATTCAGAGAATAAAGTCAGCAATGTACCCCAATTGTTGACTATTGTGTTGAGAGGGCGGCCCGATAGGGATTCTCCTCTCTCAGTGGGGCCATTGGTGGACAGTGAAGAGTGCTGGAGCAGGGGTCCAGAACATGAGTCGGCTGGAGGAAGGCGGTAGTGGGCTCAGTGTCAGGCAGAGCTAGGACAGGGCACAGCTAGGTGGCCAGCAGGCATAGTGTCCCTCCTGGGTTCTAGAAAGGACCAACCCAAGGATGGAGGTTGAAAGGAGAGAAACTGAGGAATGAGTGGGCTCACCAGGGAGAGGGTGGGAAAGCACCTAGTGGGGGAAATGAAGAGTTAGAGACACTTCAGGAGCTGATGGAGGTGTGGACAGGCGACAAAGAAGAAAGAGGAAGGGCCTGAGTGATGTGAGGAACAACTAGGAGAGGGAGTTGCCATGGCAACCAAGGTAGTGAAGGGTTTCAAGGAGAAAGTAATCAACACAGCTATATGCCTGGATCTCAGAAAAGTAAGAAGCAAACAAAGTCCTTTGAATTCAGCAATCAAGGGGCTATTGTGGCAAGAACTGTTTTGAGGGGTGAAGGGCTAAAAGCTGGCTTATCAGAGGCAATGGAGTAAATGGGTAGGACAGTCAGGTGGCAGTGAGAAAAATAGGGGTGATCAAGGGTTTCTAAAAACAGGGGTGCCCCTGGAATTGAAAGAGGCACCAGCAGAGAGGGAGAGGATGACAAGAAGTAAGATCTGGAAGTCATCAGGCATCCATCCTCTGAACCAGGCTGAAATGGAGTGAGAGGGTCTGATTGCAGATGGCCAATGGCTGATGGGAGGAAGGAAACACAGTGGGGTTCCTGTGGTGCCCTTTCTGGCCCTGATTAGGGGTATTGAGACTCACTGCACTCACAATCTGCCCTGCGGCTGACATTTTCTTGTTAAACGGAAACAGGTGTGCTGAAGTGAGCAGGGCGCCAGCCATTGTACCTGTTTGGGATAATCACCAACCGAAGCTGCACTGTGGCCGTCTGCGGCCTTGCTGGGCCCCAGATAGCTGCCATTGAGGCCACCAGGCTCCCCCTTGCCCTCTGGCTTCCGTTGTGTCCCAGGGGAGGACACAGCAGGAGATGTCAGGGACAGTAGAGCAGGATCCCTGGCTTTCTTCCTGTGGTTGTGAGAAGACGGCACAGCCTGGCCTATGGTCATGGTGAGGTGGCTTTCTTGAAGTCCCCACCTCTCCATATTCTAAAAGCCCACACCCTCCTCTAACCTTTTCAGGCTTCGAAGTGTGATGTCTTCCACCTGTCAGTCACGCCGGGCACGTGTCGTCTCTGGAACCCGTGGCCCCATCCTGCTCTTGGATGACCTCCTTCTGCTAGTGAGTTTCAGGTGAAGCCACTGGAGTACAGTGACTGTCCCTCCTACAGAACCTTGGGGGACTGAGTCAGGGGCCTGTGGTCTAAGCTCTATGACCAGTACAGAAGGAGGGTTACAGTGCAATATCACCTGCTCACTGCCTGGATGGGGCCGCCAAGCCAAGTGGGGGACAGGTGCCAGACAACCCGACTCAGAAACATTGAAACAATAATAGATTGATTATCACACAATGAGAACCCCTGGGGGCAGCTTCAATGTCACCAAGGACCTGTGTTCTGTTGGTCTTTTATTTCACTAAACCTCAAGCTATGGATCCCTGACCCCAAGGTCACAGCATGACTGCAGTCACTCCAGGCATTACATCCACTTCCTTATGACTCTTCTAAGGGAGGAAGAGACGTTTCACAGAAGACAGACACATACGTACAAACACACAGTTACTCTTTTATTTATTTTATTTTTATTTCATGTGCATTGGGGTTTTGCCTGCATGTGTGTCTGTGTGAGGGTGTCAGATCCCCTGGAACTGGAGTTGCAGACAGTTGGGAGCTGCCATGTGGGTGCTGGGAATTGAACCTGGGTCCTCTGGAAAAGAAACCAGTGTTGTTCTTAACTGCTGAACCATCTCTCTGGCCCCCAGAGTTACTTTCTAAATTTCATTTTAAAAGACTTATTTGCATATGTGCATGTGCGTGTGTGTGTGTGTGTGTGTGTGTGTGTGCTCATGCACGCATGTGCAAGCACACAAAGGCAATTGTGAGCCCCCAGATATGGTGCTGAGAACTGAACCCAGATCCTCTAGGTGAACA